GTAGTATTCTTGGGTTGCCCCCTACACTTTCAAGTTCATTGTCTTCAGATGTCTTACTCTTTGTGTTTAGAAAAAAGTAAAGAAAAACTTTGAGAGCCACTGGGCTGGCAAGGTGTCTCTGCTCCTTAATTCTAAAAAGAGAAGTCTGTTGATTTGAAGAAAAGTAATATCTAGCCACGTGACTGCAGATTTAGAAAAGGAGTCTCATGCCCTCCTTCCCTGCAGATCCTTCATGTGCATGGTGGTAGGTAAAGGCAGGCATGTTGGAGCACTGCACCCTCCAGTGGACAAGGTCACGAATAAGTTCACATTCCTCTTCCTGTGATGGAAGCTGGGCAATCAAGCCTTCTCTGTGTTCATATTCTTTGGCCTTTTTTCTGTTTTATGCAAGTTATAAAGTATAACTTATATTTTGCCAGTGTCTGCCATATGAACTCTGTCAGAGTTACTGGATACGATTATTCTGGCCATGGAGTGAGATCTCAGCCTGTCTGAACACTCTACTCTTTAAGCTGAAAGCCAGGAATATTAGCATGGAGTAGCTGTTTTCAAGGTGGGGTACACAGATCCCTGGGAGAGATTCTGATGACCCTTTCAAGACATTTGCTAGGACAAAACAATTTTTACAGTGATGCTAAGGTTTTTTCCCTCCCATTGTTCTGAATCGACATTTGTACTGATGGTTCAAAAATGGTGGGAGTGGGGGAGTGGTAAGCTGTTGGCACCTTAGCACGAATCAAGTCAATGGCACCAAACTGTACTAGTAGTCATTGCTTTCTTCACTCCCATTCACTTACTGTTAAAAACAATAGTCAGGTGGGGCTTGGCGGCTCAGCCTGAAACCCTAGTATTTGGGAGGCCTAGGCAAGTGAATTGCCTGAGCCTGCGGGTTTGAGACCAGCCCAAGGCAACTTGGAGACCTTGTCTCTACAATAAATAAAAAATTACCTGGGTGTGGTAGTGCCACCTGTATTTCTGGCTACTTGGAAGGCTGAGGTGGAAGGATCACCGGAGTCCAGCAGGTCAACATTGGGGTGGCTGTGAGTGTGCCACTGCACTCCAGCCTGGGCGATGGAGTGAGACTCCAGCCCAAAAAAAAAAGAAAGAAAGAAACTGAAGCAGTATGTGATTAGATACAGAAGGAATAATATCTTGTTTTTAAAAACATGGATAATCTTCTATGATACTACACTAAAACTTGACAAGTGTTATTTCTTAATGGGTTGGCTGCAACATGGAATCTGAAATCCTATCAGTTAGATTAGCATCCATTGATCTATGGATTTGAATGGGTCTTTTATCCATGCAGGGTTTTATAACATCAAGCAGTATTTAACTGGAAAATACTGAAGCAGTACAAATTATCGGTTGCACTAAATCTCAACCCTGAGTTCACATTGTGTTAGTATTCTGTGTCATGAAGTGGGATGTTCACAGAAAGCTCTTCTTCTATGTGCTGACCCAGGGTGTTCTTGAGGAAGAGCACTTGTGTAATTGTTTGAGTGGCAATGAGAACTAGCTGGGTATTTTTCCACAGGACATCATTTTTCTTAAAAGAATGACTAGTTGCCAAACTATGGTTATTCAAACTTGAAGACATTTTCTCAAAAACAACTGAAGTGAGCTTGTCACTTCAAGGAAAACAGCTGACAGTGTTTTTTGTTAGTGTTAAAATTCAAACTTCTACACCAAAATTTTGAATTTTGGAAATCTGCATCTGCCATTTTGAGCTTCACAATATTCATAGAGTTTTCTGATGGACTTGGTGGTGATTTAAGGAATATTATTTCTGAGTGAGTCATGAAATGTGTCCGCATTGGGAAGGTCTACTTAACTCAGTGAGCCAGTAGTTTCCAGTTGAATACTGCCTGATGTTATAAAATCTTGCATGGGCAAAAGACCCATCCAAAGTATAAGACAGATCAATAGATTTCAATCTAACTGATACGATTTCAGATTCCACGTTGCAACCAACCCTTTAAGAAACAACACTTGTCAAGTTTTAGCATAGTATCAAAGAAGACTGCGCATGCTTTTCTGAATACACTATTATAATATTCTTCCCTTTTCTAATCACATATGTGTGTGAGATCACATACCAACAAAAGCAAAATATTGCAGCAGATTCAGATATGATAACTGCCTGTCTTCAGTTAAACCAGACATTAAAATAATTTGTAAAAATGTAAAACAATGCCATTCTTCTCATTGTTTTTTGTTTGTTTTGGAAAATGTAATTGTTTTTCATAAAATGTTATTTATATTGCATGTAATGAATTTTTTAGTATATTTTTAATTTTTGAGTCAGGGTCTCCCTCTGTCACCCAGACTGGAGTATAGTGGCATGATCATGGCTCACCATAGTTTTTCCTGGTATCAAGTGATCCTCCTGCCTCAGCCTCCCAAGTAGCTGGGACTACAGGCATATGCCACCTTGCCCAGCAAAGTTTTAAAGATTTTTTTGTAGCAACGAGGTCTCGCTGTGTCAACCCAGTTGCTCTCAAACTCCCAGGCTCAAGCAGTCCTCCTGCCTTAGCCTCCTGAGGTGCTAGGATTACAAGCATGAGCCATCACGCCCAATCAGATTTATTATTGTTATTTTCAAATGAGTTACTAGGTATTGTGAAAATTTCTGTTTTACTTGCTAATATGTTAATGATTAACAGATGTAACCAGCTGAAACTGGCTTGTACTGGCTTGTTGGAGACAATTGTGTATGTTTTTTTCCAACTCTGTGTCTAACGTCATTCATTGGTAGCTCAAAATCAACCATAGAAGGAGTATTTACATCACAAAAATCAGCAAAAGCTACACATCAGGGCTCTCCCTTCCTAAAATCTGATTATTAAATGCTTATTAACATTCTACTGAATGTAAATCACATAAAAGCTCTTTGAGGTCATCAATAATTTTTAAAAGTGTAAAGGTGTCCTGAGACTAAAATGCATGAGTATCAGTTGTGTGAATAAAAGGGATGTCTTTCTCCCCTTTAGTCCATGAGGATGGCTTTTTATAATTCATACAAAGTTGTCTTTTGTGCTGGGAACATCTGTGTTTTTTTAACTTATAATTGATAAATCCACTGGTTCCATATGGCATGACCTATTTCTTTTCCCTCAAAATCTAAGATAGACAGTAACCCTCTAGGGTAGGCTGGCCAACTGCCCTTGGGGCTGTGTGTTGGTTGCCTCTGCCCTGGTTCTCACTTTCTGTCTCACTGTTATCCAGGTTCACATCAAGGCCTGGTTCTCTGCAAAGCCTCCACTTATTGTTCAGGCCCATCATGATCTTTCTGTTCTGTTCTTCGGTGACATTCATGGCCTGTAAAATGGAGCATTTAGTCCTATACTGTTTGGTGTGCTGCTGTCTCTTAGGTGTTAATTTTATTAATTCTACTTTCCACCCTGGTGCACTCAGTACAATGCTAAACACCGAGGTTCTCTCACATGGAAAAAAGATGTTTTTTAACTTTTGGATTGCCAGAGAAGTTTGCTGTCAAAGGGAATGATAATGTCAATTCATCTTACAGTTTTTTTCTATAACCAATTTTTTTCTTTGCCCTGGCAATATATATTTTAATTTTTTGTTTCATTTTTATGATGACAAGTTTATTTCCTTTTGTTTGTTTAAATACAAAGCGAAACCAGATACAGGTACAACTGAGACATTTTATCCCACATTCACACACTCCTATTGGATTCTCCTCCAATTCGCTAACCACTGGCCAGGTTAGTATGGTGTGAGAGGAAAGAGTTTCTTAGGTAGCAGTGTTATGAGGCCTGTAGGGGGGTGGGAGAAAATCAAGGATGGGGACAGGCTCTCATACCTTGTTATAACCAATTTTTAATACTTATTTTAAGGTATTTGTATAAGTAGAAGTCTGTTAGTGTAAGTTGGAAATCACAAATGTTCCTTAAAGTGAGATCACGCAGGCCGAGGTGGAAGGATCGCTGGAGCCCAGCAGGTCGAGGCTGCGGTGACTGGGAGCGACCATTGCACTCCAGTCTGGGTGACAGAGTGAGACTTCAACTCAAAAAAAAAAAAAGCGAGATCATACATGGAGGTTTCCTTCAAAACTTGTTCGAGGTCCTCTGGTTCTACTCCCAGCCAAGATACAAACTGGTGGCTCATTTCATTTCCAAGGTCTTTGACTGCTTTAAGTCTTAATGTATATGAATCTTAGAAAAATGAGGCAAAGTTTTTATCACACTGGCCTGTAGAACAGAGTTGATTACTCATTAGAAAACTTGGCAGGGTTGTGTCCAGGGGAGTGTGGAGGTATTGTGTTTTGCTGATACGAATCTCTGTTGAAAGCGCTCAGAGTACTAGGAAATGACTGTTCTCTTGGCTCCAAGCTAAGTGCTCCTCTGGCTTTGGATGCTGGAGCTGGGGGAGAGGAAGAGTGTCAGGAGGCCTTGCCAGCTCCTTGCCAGCTCTGGGTCAGAGAGGAACAGTCCTGGAATTTCTTTGGGCTGTGCCTTTTTTGTGATGATGGGGCATAAAAGTAACAGCGATTTTTATGAGTATAATGGCAGAGCCTCAGCTTACCTCCAAAGTAATACTAGATTATCATGTGTCAAGCATTTCATTTATTCAAAAATAATTCACCATATTTAAGTTCTGTCTCCAATTTCTCTTAAGTTAGGGAGGGTAATTTGTACTCTGGCCTAAAAAAGGCTCACTGTTAGTAGTCGTGAGGTCGTAGTGAGGTAGTTTAACTGCTTTAGAACTTTGTGCCTGGAACATTCTCAGCCACCGAAGCATGGGCACCGAAAGTGAGGAGCATGTGTTCTTTAATATCTATCACATCAGAGAATGACTGTTCCAGCACAGTAACCACCACCTCATGGTAAGTACCCCAGCTGGTTCATCAATCCTCAGAAGCAGGAAAAAGAAAAGAGAAACAGGCCAGTCATCACAGTGAGTGGTATTTCTTAAAAAGAAATACGAGCAACAAAAAAAGGTCCGGCTTTAATCTACAATGAAGGTCGTTTTTGCAGGTTTCTGTAGCTGGATCAGGCACCGGAAGAGGCTCTCCAGCTGTAACTCTAGTGCAGTTACCTTCGGGCCAAACTGTGCATGTCCAGGGAGTAATTCAGACACCACAGCCATCGGTTATTCAGTCACCACAGATACAAACTGTTCAGGTTAGCTTCCTTCCTGGGTGATTTATCCGACTTCCTTGGGCCTTTGACTTTCTTTTGCTAATTCATTTTCCATTGTCTTTCTTCATGTAGCTTTTATGTGCAAGTCTTCTTATTAGCTGTTTGGAGGATTTTCTTTTTTATGTGTAAAGTACATCATGCCCTGCTAGGTACATCGATTTGACTTGAGAGCTGCAGTTTGGTTGTCAGCTCTTAATTTGCAGAATGAGTCATGACCGGGTGAGCAGTTCATATCTCCTTCAAGTTGGGATTCTGTGCTCAAACTTAGATTTATTTAGTAAAGCTCTCCAGTGGTGCCTAAAAATATGTTGAAGGTTCTTTGGAGAAGATGTCTGATAAATGCAGTCATAGAAAGTAATAGAAAATGTGCATTATAGTAATATAAAGCTTATAGTACTGATGCTGTTTTTGTGAATATTCACATTAGTACTAGGTAGAGATTTAAGTTTGAATTCATTATACATAATCCTTAGAAAGTAATATGATATTATTGTCACTTCAGTGTTATGTTCATAGTTATGTATCCCTCTCAGGTTAAAACTTGGCTCTTATAGATGTGATTATTATTGTTGTTGTGATCCAGACTTGTATTTTATTATTTATTATTATTAAGCTTGGTAGTAAATCCTTAACATTTCTTGAAGGTAAAAACATTTTTTCATCAATAGATATAAATTACTAAGTTTGCGTTGTTTAAAGCATACTTTTTTGCTGAATTTATTTGTTCCTTTTTTAGGTCCTTTGTTATTATTCTTTAAATACTGAAATTATTTGAACCTAATGATGACAAAATCTGTGAGGAAAAATGAGACACACAGAGATAGTCTTATCCTTTTCCTGTATATTTGAGTATAATTTATCACAGAATAAGGAAGAGGATTACAACATACTTGAAGTGAAAAATCTGCATGCATTAAAATCTTTTTTTCCCTGCACAGATATTTTTTCTTGTGTTGCTTAAAAGTTTAAGGATAATTCTTGTCATTGTCTTTTTTTTCTTTGATGATTCTTGATTCCAAGAGTTTCTTTTTCCGACTAATTATAAAATAAGAAAATCTCTCCACCCTCTTCTTTGTATTATGACTTTTTTTTCCCCTTGAGTCAGGGTCTCACTCTGTTGCCCAGGCTGGTGTGCAGTGGTGCAATCATGGCCACCATAACCTCAATCTCCTTGGCTCAGGCGATCTTTCCTCCTCAGCCTCCTGATTAGCTGGAACTATAGGCGTGTACCACCATGCCAGGCCAATTTTTTTTATTTTCTGTAAGGACAAGATCTCACTATGTTGCCCAGGCTGGTCTTAAACTCCTGAGCTCAAGCAATCCTCCTACTTTGGTCTCCCAAAGTTCTGGCATTACAGATGGGAGCCATCGCATCCAACCGTATTAAGCCTTTTTAAACCCAACCAGTATTAGAAGCATTGACTTATATTCAGCAGGCTTAAACATTTTTTTGTTGAATGATTTAATTGTCTTTGTAGAGATAGGTGCCAGTGGATCTTGTCTTAGAATTCCTACCTGTGGGACCATGGGCAAGTCACTTAATTTCCCTGCATAAACTCTAGTTTTCACCTTTCAAAAATGAGTAAATTAATAGCCTACATCACATAAAGAAGTTGTAATTATGTGACAGATGTGTGAAAGCCCATTGTAAAGTGATAAATGTTTGGTAGTGATAAATGATTGTTTGATGCAACAATACTTTTTTCCCTCATTTCTTTCATTGGGTTCATGTGCTCATGTGTGGGTGTTCATGATGAGAGATGCATGGTCATATGTGTAGGTGAATATGTACACACATCCATGTGCGGTGGGAAGTATGTATTCTTGCTTACATTGCTGATATTTTAATAAGCTCTTTTTATTTTGCCCAAATCAATTGCCCATGTAATTATAATATGAAGGTGAGTTTTGTAAACTCAGCTACCTAGGTCCTCAGAAGTGAATATTGACAGCAGTCATGTTGTTGAAGAGATTCATTGTTTTGTAGTTTTCTGACTCTCTTTAATAATCAAATTATTATTACTTGATTTGAAAAATTACTTGAATTATTACTTGATTTGAAAAATGAATCATGCTTAAAACTCTGACCATTCTTTTAAGGAGAAATTCCTTATTTGGGCCTTCAAGGCCTACTACCAAGCCCTAACCTACTCCTTGTAACAAACTTTAGCCTGGCTTGTTCACTGACCTGTCTACTTAAATATTCTTTCTTCTTTGGGCCTATTGAATGGCTAATGTGAAGACCTGGTTCGGGTCAGCTGTGATGGTGTGAGGCACAGTGGGACTGAGACTCTCTCCTCTGCCTCCGCTACGCTTTCCCTCCCTCCCTGCTGGATCTGTAAGGGACTTTCATGTTGAGGCTCTTAGGCCTGATGTATTTCTTGTTTCATCCTTGCCTGCAAAGCCTCACTTGATGTTCCAGCTACCCTTTCCATCGCATCTTGGAAGCATGTATTCTCCGCACCAGTCCTGCCACACACATTTGTCTTACAGCTTAGATGTGTTTGCCTGCACATCCTTTCCTGAGCCAGGTCATGAGCTCCTTGAGTGCAGGTCCACTGTGCTCTGTTGCTTGGTTGCTTCCACAGCACCTGGCTCAGTGCTACACACGTAGACAGGACCTTAACTACCTTTTTTTTGAATGAAGGATTTCATCTATTCTATGATGTATTTCAGAAAATCTTGTATTATAGGTAGCAACAATTGCAGAGACAGATGAGTCTGCAGAATCAGAAGGTGTAATTGATTCTCATAAACGTAGAGAAATCCTTTCACGAAGACCCTCTTATAGGTAAGTTAACTAAATTTCCTACTGTAATGATACTTTTCTCTAAAAGGTGGAATAATTATATATCAAACCAATTTTTCCTTTATAGCTTTACTATAGCTTTTCATTTATATATCTTAGTTATTTATATTATTAAATTATATTTTAGAAAAATACTGAATGAACTGTCCTCTGATGTGCCTGGTGTTTCCAAGATTGAAGAAGAAAAATCAGAGGAAGAAGGAACGCCACCTAACATCGCTACCATGGCAGTACCGACTAGCATATATCAGACTAGCACGGGGCAATACAGTATGTATGCTGCGATATGATACCATATGGTGCTAGCTTTAGTTACACTGAAGGAACTTGGGTTTTGGCATTAAACTGTTTCATTTAAAAATGCATCATTAATACCTAAACTGTGTATCATAGAATGAAAAGTACATGTTAAAGAACTGAGAGATTTGTACTGACATATACTTTTGAAAAGCAAAAATTTTTATTGCTGAAAATAGAAGAAATTTTGCAGATAAAAATTAAGGGAGGGTTTTCCTATTTCTGTGTTTATATTAATCTCTAGCAAAACCTTCTGTTTTTGTTGTCTTTATGATGCATGCAACATAAGATAAATATGTCTGTATTTTATTCTTGGTTGGCTTTTGTTACCAACAATTTCCTATTATACTTACTAATCTAAAAGTTTTAAAAATTCTGTTTTAAATGTAATTCTGTTTTTACTACTCTCTATTGTGTTTATTTGTGCTGCAGTTTTTCCTAAAAGAGAATGGAAAAAAAAAGACTTAATTTTTAAAACTGTAGCAATTGGATAGATCATTTTATTTGAATTTTTGCACACTGAAAGCTTAAATAAACAGATACATTCCCATTTAGTCTTGTGCATTTTAATGAACTGATAATTCTGTGCTTTTTGCTCTAATTAAAGCACTAGTTTTCTCCCCCCAAATCAAGAACACTTGATACATAGAAATAGTGGGGGGGAAAAAAACCAACAAGAGCTAGGAAGAAAAGAAAAAGTGAGAGAAAAGATAAGGGGAAGCTACTAAGGTTCTGAAATATATGTGATAGTAAATACTGTGTTTGGCCAAATAAAATATATATTTTCGTTTTCCTTTAAAAAGTAACAATACCTAGAAAAAACCCTCAAGTCTTAATTTAAGACATGGCTATTAAAACAAGCTATACTCTTTCGTATATGGGAAGACCTGGAATTTTTGGAGTTTGTAGAGTTTTTCTTGTGGTGGTGGTAGATTTGCAATATTAAACGATTAAATGCATTTTCCTTTGGTAATTTTGGGTATCTCCTACCATGATACCCAGCAGAACTGGGGTGTGTGTAGATCATTCACAGTCTCTACAGGGCGCTGAGGGGACATGTGCAAAGTCAATCTTTGGAAGAACTAGACCATGAGGTTTACACTGTCATTTCTCTTTTGCTACTTCTCTGTTTTATGCTTTTTTGGCTGTCCCACTGAGAGTCTATGGTGGGTTTTAGAACTACAAATCAGAGTTTGCTGGCTGGTTTGCCTCAGCAGGTTATAAGAGTGCTGAGCCCCTCATCCCCTTGGTCCCCCAGAGCTGCTAGAGCCTCCTGGTTGGTCAGCTCTGGTCTTGGGCAGAGCTTCATCCATTTCCTCAGTGGGTGTCCACATGTCATCACTTGCTGTTTGTGTCTGATGGAGAAAAGTTGGAAATAACTACTGGTGTGTTGCTGAGACTTCTTAAGGTGGGGAGGACGATCAGAAATTCTGTCGTCTTGATGTTCGGCGAGCATTTCCAGGTGTTACGCAGGCCTTCTGGTAGATACAGTGATCCCCTTCAAGGTGGCAGAGAAGTGGATGCTGTTGGTTAATTTGCCTAGATTAACTGAAAATGTGACATTGTGAAAATGTAGGAGGTTGAGAGAATGTTGAAGCTGGAGAGGATGTGAGGAAGGAACCCTGTTTCTACCATTTGCTAACTCAACAGTCATGGCACAGAGCTTTATTAAATTCACATCTCAGGTTTTAGTCTTTGAAGTGGGAATAATACTGAATTGTCAGACTCTGGGGTTAGTATGAAGACAAAAGGAGATAACAGAATAAATGGGGTGGGGAGGGTGCATACTGCCATTGACATGGCAGAGTTGGCTGTGGCCGAGTCTCATGTGTGTTCTTTATATTGTTTCCCCAGTCAGCTCCAGTGCCTTTATTCCTTGTGCCCTTGGTGCCTGCCTACAGCAGGGGGCTTGGTGATAAACCTCACCCTATGTGTCTGTGGGGATGGGAGGAACAGGGCCAGGAGTTCTGGCTGAGAACTGGAAAACTGTATCTTGAGGAATCAGAGCTTTCTGTTTGCCATGAAAGAGGACATGAACTGTTTCCTACTTAAGTTTCTTAATTTGGGCCTGTACAGTATGATCGTGGAGGTTACTTTAATGGGAAATTGTAGTTGTTCTATGTGCATTGTCTGCAGGAAAAAATTGCCATTGCTGGCTCACACAATGTAATATTTCCTTTGTTAAAAACGCATTTTTGGAACATTTAGTGATACTTGTTTATATAGGTAATTCTTTCATTTGACAAATGAATACTAACATTTACATTTTTTACAAGACATTTACTTTATGTGGAGGGTAAATATATATTTACATACACACACACACCAGACTCATTTTTATTAATCATATTTCTTACTAGGAATAACTTAGATATTAATGCTTTAATGTTATTCCTAAATACCTAGAAATAGAAACAACTATTGGTGTCCTTTGGTTTTTAGAATAGAGGAGTTTATTTTACTAGAACTTCTGGAGCTTTTTTTTTTCTTCTTTTCTTTTCTTTTTTTTTTTTTTGAGACTCTTTCATAACCTTTTATTACAATTTTTTTTTGGATTTAATTTTTTTCTTTGACTTTTATCCTGGGTGACTTTCTCCTAAACTTTGCTTTTTATTATTATTACAGCTTATTTGTCAACTTTTTATTTCAACTTATTTTTTATCACAAAAACTAAGAAATGAAAGTTGGAGTAGGCTACTCCCCAGGGGGTAGGAAAAATAACCAAACATAGGTAGGGATTCATAATTACAACACCAAGTGGGTGAGCTGTACCTGTGAATCTTCACTGGAAGTACCCATCTTAATGATAGGTGTGTTGCCTATCAGTTAAGTGATTCTGGTCAAAGAAAATCTGTTTTAGGCCTTGCTCAGTGGCTCAGCCTGTAATCCCAGTACTTTGGGAGGCCGAGGCAAGTGGATTGCCTGAGCCAGTGGGTTCAAGACCAGCCCAGGCAACTTGGAAAGACCTCATCTCTACAGTAAATCAAAAATGAGCCGGGAGTGGTAGCGCATGCCTGTAATTCTGGCTACTTGGAAGGCTGAGGCAGAAGGGTCATCAGAGTCTAGTAGGTCGACGCTGGGGTGGCCGTGAGTGTGCCACTGCACTCCAGCCTGGGCGACTGAGTGAGACTCCAACTTGGAGAAAAAGAAAATCTGTTTTATCTCAGGAGCATATATCTGAAAAGAATGGTAGTTGACATAGTCTTTGAATGAGCAGTTACTTGATGCATAAGACGTTTAAGATAAGCATCAAATAAGTGAATTTGTAAAAGAAACTAAATAAGTTAAAATGTTGGAAGTTTCTTAATCTGTTAAATTGTCTCTTAAGACAAAGGGTTTTTTGTCCTCCACTCTACTGTACCTGACCTCTTTCCTTACCAATTAAGGACTTTCACTCAGTACTTCAGTTTTTTTTCCCCCACATACCCTTGTCTCTGCCCACTGCTACTTTATTTTACTAGGCACCTTATTAGAATGGGTTTCTGTTAACTCATCTTTCCTGGAATCCTTATACACTAAAGGTAAGTGGGTCAGTCCAAATTGCACCGTTGTGAAAAGATAAGTGTGAACTTTGTAAACTGCTTAAATAATTCAGAATTCTCAGAAGACTCATGAATAAACACTGATTCCATTTCTTCATAAAGGGAATTAGCCCATGATAGGCTTACATATTCTCAAGGAAATGCAGTTGCATTTATTGTTCTTAATAGTGATTCCACTTGAATTTTCCTTTGTTACTATTTCACATATAAGCCTGGCATTTAACCTTGGTGTGGCTGCTCTCCTTATAGAATGTTCAGTCTGCCGCTGCATGCCCCTCTTGTCTTTTAAGGCACAGGTACTCATAGGTTCTCTTTTGTGGTCACTTTTGAATTTAAACCTGAGAGTTCATTGGAACCAATCTCTTGTTCTTTTTCAAGTTAATGCAGTAAGATTTTATTTATGAATGTTTTTATTGCAATTTGGAATAAGAATGGTTTTAAATATAATTAATTAAATATTTACATGTTTATATCTTCTAAGTAGCTAGTATGTACAAGTTGTAGGATTAAAAATACATAGCATTGCCGGGTGTGGTGGTATGTGCCTGTAGTTCCAGCTACTTGGGAGACTGAGGTAGGAGGATCATTTGAGGCTAGGAGTTAGAGACCAGCCTGGGCAACATAGCGAGACCCTGTCTCTAAAAAATAATAATAAATAAATATATAGCATCAAGCAAAAGAGAGCTCAGATGAAACATTATATAAATTCGACTTCCTCATTTGGTCTTGAACTCTTTTTTTTCAGTTTTCTTTTCTTTCTTTCTCTCTTTTTTTTTTTGAGTTGGACTCTCACTCCGTCGCCCAGGCCGGAGGGCAGTGGCACAGTCATGGCCACCCCAGCATCGACCTGCTAGGCTCTGGTGAACCATCTGCCTCAGCCTTCCAAGTAGCCGGAACTACAGACGCGCACTACCACGCCCGGCTATTTTTTATTTTATTGTAGAGACAAGGTCTTGCCAAGTTGCCTGAGCTGGTCTTGAACCCGTGGGCTCAAGCAAATCCAGTCGACTCGGCCTCCCAAAGTGCTGGGATTACAGGCTGAGCCACCATAGCCCAGTCTTTTCAGTTTTATATGCCTTTTGTTTTCTTTTTTACCCAGCATACAGTCAACCCTTTTTAAATTCATCTTTCCTGTCTTCCTTAATAATTATACAGGACTTTAATATTAGCTTTTAAGTTCAATTTTTTACCAACATTCTTGAATTTTTATTCCATAAATAATATTCCTCTTATTTTAATTATGTTTAATTATATTTAATTATATTAAAGTAATTGGAGGTAAGTGCTCAATGGCAATGAGTAATGGACGTAGCAGATTTCTTTCTTTCTTTCTTTCTTTCTTTCTTTCTTTCTTTCTTTCTTTCTTTCTTTCTCTCTTTCTCTCTCTCTCTCTCTCTCTCTCTCTCTTTCTTTCTTTCTTTCTTTCTTTTTTGAGTCGGAGTCTCCCTTTGTTGTTCAGGCTAGAGTACAGTGGCATACTCACAGCCACTGCAGCCTTGACCTGCTGGGCTCAGGTGATCCTTCTGCCTCAGTCTTGGACTTGCCAAGTTGCTCTGGCTGGTCTCGAACCCCTGGGCTCAGGCAATCCTCTCAACTTCCCAAAGTGTTGGAATTACAGGCATGAGCCACTGCGCCCAGCCTGGAAGTAGCAGATTTCTAAGCACAGCTTTGTGTCTCAGGAATTTTTAAAAAATTTATTGATTGGAGTAGTTAATATGATACCATCCTGGTTACCATGTTTTATGGTAAGTTGGGGGTAGGAAAACCATACTTGAGTTACTACTAAATATTATGACTATGGAAGGATGTGGATAAAGATGTTATGTAACCAGCTAAAGCTAACTATCTAGACAAACTGTTTCCTTTCTTTTCTTTTCATTTTTTTGAGTCAGAGTCTCACTCTGTCGCCCAGACTGGAGTGCCTTCACATGCTCATGGTTACCTGCAGCCTTGACCTAGGCTCAGGTGATCCTTCCACCTCAGCCTTCCACGTAGCCAGAACTACTGGTGCTTGCCACCATACCTGGCTAATTTTTTTGATTTACTGTAGAGATGAGGTCTCACCAAGTTGTCCAGGCTGGTCTCGAACCCCTGAGCTTGGGCAATCCTCTTGCCTCTGCTTCCCAAAGTGCTGGGATTACAGGTGTGAGCCACCTCACCCGGCTGACAAACTGTTTCTTAATTTAAGGTCAGTCATTGTGTTCAACAAGTAGGTACTGAGTGACCTGCTTACTTATGGGGTGTACAAACTTTACCTGCACGATAACCACTTATGTACCTAACCTTGAGCTGTACCCCACGTCTTTAAAATAAACAATAAGTTATGGGGTGTAGTCCACCTGAGAGTTTTAACAAAAAAAAGTTTACTTAGGTAACTACCTGAGCAACCAAGGACAACAGAGCCTAGCCTCCACTCACAACTACTGTGAGCATATAGCACCCCGGCAGGCTTGAATCAATTAGATAATGGAAACTGAAGAAGAATTTACTTGATTGTATAATCTATCTCTCCAGTTTTAATTCAGTTTAGGTGTTATGAAATTATATTCTATTATTTCATTTTGTATTTTATGTAATGTTATGAAGTATGTATATTGTCTAAAATTAAAAGATACTTCTACTTGAGTACCAATCAGTATTCCATAGATCTTCATTATTGTCAGCAAAAATGTGTGCAGTCATTTTTGCACGTGTCATTCCAGGAGAACATTAATAAAGCTTATCCTAGAGTAAAATTAGTGGGAAATGCAAAGATATTTTATTTTCGTCGGTCACCCATGGCCTTGATATGTACTGATCATTTTATTTTAAAACAATCAGCTATACATTGATGTCTGAGATTTGTTTTTAAATAATTCAGACCATTAAAAAAATAAGAGTAGAGGGTGAATGGGCAGGGGAAATGGATGACCAAAAATTCCCTATTTTTATGTCTGCTGGTACACTTCCATAATAAAATTTTAAAAATATATCATCAGCTGAAATAGAAGGTGTATCTAGATTTAGTCAGTTAATTTCATCTTATTTTTTCTTACTATTTATCTTGATTTATGTTTACTGAAAACACGTTATGGTATCCTCAAATATTTTGACCCCTAAGAAGTTTTCTCCTCAAATCTTGGAATACACATAGGCACACACAAATCCTTTTTCCAGGATCCTGAAGCATTGGGAAATCTTGTTTATTGTCAAATAAGAGAGAACATTTTGAAAGGGAAGGTCCTTTGTCATTTGATAACAGCAAAATCAAGAGCACCTTTGGCATTAAAAAAAATGAGAGCTAAAGTATGAGATTTAGCAGTAGATACGTTTTCCCCCTAGAGCCAACTAGTGTGAGTGTGTGTGCGTGTGTGTATTTAGCTTTTGTTTTCTACGTTTAATTATATAATGATTTCACCAGAATATAAAATGACAAGAGAAACATTCTTCATATGTCAGCTGTTCATAGTGTAAAAGCAAAGAAGTTTTAGTTGGAACCATGGGGAAACATTACAGAAAAAGAAAAAAAAATTAAAATAGAAAAAAGGACATAAGAAGCAAACAGAAAGTAAGAAGAGAAAAAAGAAAATAAAGCTCGTTATTATTTACCTGTTTAATGGTTTTTACCCTTGGAGGCGACTGCTCTCACCTCAGATTAACTAGTTCAAAAGCATGGTCATTGTATTAGTGTTAGAAAATTGAGTTCTCTAATGGGAATTTGAAATCATGTCTCCTTTAACTCTTCTAGATCCATATGTGGTTTAAGCTGTCCCTAATACAGACATTTTATTTATCGGGGTCCTGCTCTGTGCTAGGCTTTGTGCTTCTACCACTCGGTCCTTTTACTGACTTTGGCTTTTCTCTCTAAAACACTATTTTTCTCTCCCAAACCCTTTTATTGTGAGGGCTGAATCCTGAGACCTGTGAAGTATTTGGAGAGTTGTGGTTTAAAAATATCCTGTTTTTAAAATGTGTACAGAATATAATGATCTAATGAGCCAGATAAAGTGATATTACATCAGGATTTCTCAACCTCAGCACTGTTGACATTCTGTAACTGATTCTTCAGTCAGTCATTCCCACTGTAAGACTCACCTCTCAGTGAACTAAAACACAGAGAACGCATCTGTATGGAAATCTTTTGAAAAATATGACCCCATCTTTCCGTGTCAGGCACTGGAACCTTAGGTCAAAGAACTGAAAATTTGTTGTTGTTACTCTTTTCATAGTTCTGATAAGTTTGTCCTGTAAGGTTATTACCTAAATGGCCTTTTGCTTAGATGCCATTGAAATGTTTGGGAATGACTTGAAAATATTCAGAGTCTATTTTAAACACTACTATAATGTTCCTGTAAAACATTTATATTTATTTATAGGTGTTATTCTGGTGATGTGTTTTTTTTTTCAAATCTTCATTGTAAACTAGTTAGCTAGTTTTTATGATTTTTTAAAAAAGTATAGCCCTTGGCTTCACTTAGTATATACCATTTAAAACATGCAGTTATAATCTTTATGGTATATACAGACTTCTCAGATATTTTAAACAGTACTTACTTGTCTATTTGGGTGAAATTTTAAAACATCTGATCAATTGTTCTTTTGGATTTTTAAGTTAGTATGTTAACTTTTAAACATGACTGACAAATCTCAGTATTTAGAGGACATATAACTCATGTTTGTTGCCATTAGCTATAGTCATTCAAGACATTTGGGAGGGGTAATTATTGAAGTACAAATCCTTTCAAGGACTTTTCCAACTTAACATTTTATGTTTCAGGATTCTCCTGACATAGTCATTGATAAAGGCTACACAGGTTTGTAGACTTCAGCTTTCTAACCAAAAATATGATATGTATTTCCTTAAAGCTACTTTCTCTTGCTGATAAACTAGAAAAGTAGTTAGCTGAATGAAGGTACAGATTTATTGTCATTGCAATACTCAACAGAAATGTCACTGAGCATTTCTTAAATGTTAGAAGAATGCTGTTGATCACTAAAAATGCCTGAGAGGATGGAGACAAGCAAGGAGCTGGACTCTTTCCCTGTCTACTTCTCTGCTCCTCCTCTTAATTTTAACTTAGATAAATGGATGCTAAGGAGGAAGAAAGCTCCATGGACTCTCTGTATTTCAAACAATTCTGATCATCAAGGTTTTTCAAGTGCCTATAAGCCTTTTTAGAGAATTACCTCGTGAAGAAGCAGATGTTCCTTACCTATTCAGCTTAGAAAATAAGGGCAACTTGAGAATCAGCCAGGCATAGTGGTGCACGCCTATAATCCCAGCACTTTGGGAGGCTGAGGTGAGAGGACTGCCTAAACCCGCAGGTTTGAGACCAGTCTGGGCAACTTGGCAAGACCTCATCTCTACAATAAATAAACAACAACAAAAAATTAACTGGGTATGGTGGTACGTGCCTGTAGTTCCAGCTACTTGGAAGGCTAAGGCGGAAGGATCGCCTGAGCCCAGAGGTCGAGGCTGCAGTGGCCGAGAGCATGCCACTGCCCACCCAGCCTGGGTGACAGAGTGAGACTCCAACTCAAAAAAAAAGAAAGAAAACAGAAGGGCAACTTGAGAATCAGAAGCAGTGGTAATAAACAGACCCAGAGTATGTTCTTCCAATATGAGATGATTAAACATAAATCTTGAAACTCTCTAATACTTCTTTTCTTTTCTATTAAGTTGCTATAGCCCAAGGTGGAGCAATCCAGATTTCTAACCCAGGATCTGATGGTGTGCAGGGACTGCAGGCATTAACAATGACAAACTCAGGAGCTCCTCCGCCAGGTGCCACAATTGTACAGTACGCAGCGCCATCAGCCGATGGCACACAGCAGTTCTTTGTCCCAGGCAGCCAGGTTGTTGTTCAAGGTATATTTTATTAATCTAATATGTTTAGAATACCTGTGGATTCCTATAGCACACCATTTGGTGGGATTTGATAGTTTTCTGACATTTACAGAAGGTAGATTGGGGGCAGGGATGGGGGCACTTAAGGTTTAAAAATAAATATTATAGTATATTAAGCAGCAATTCTATCATCTGCACATTTTAGCAGGTTTTACTGACTTTAAAGAAAGCCCAAATTCAGGGTAGCATGCCAGAAAAAGGGAGGTGGAAACATAAATGATTTTTGTTTATTTTGGGGGGAGTCTGTTTTTGATATGGGGTCTCACTCTGTCACCTAGGCTGGAGTGCAGTGGTGTGATCATGGCTCACCACAGCCTCAGCCTCCTGGGCTCAGGATCCTTCTCCCTCAACCTCCCAAGTAGCTGGTGCTAGCCACCACACCCAGCTAATTTTTTTATTTTTTGTAGAGATGAGTTCTCGCTATGTTGCCTAGGCTGGTCCCGCAATCTTGGGCTCAAGCAATCCTCTTGCCTCAGCCTCCCAGAGTGCTGGGATTATAGGAGTGAGCCACTGTGTCCAACCTCATAAATTAATTTTTTAAATTAAGTAAATATCCTTCATTTGGGCGTACAGATGCTGTACCTAGTATAATCCTATTACCTAACCTGTGAGGATTTAAGTATTTAGTCCATGATGCCCCAACTTTGGGTTTTTCCCCCCAGCTGTTATATTCAAATCTAATTTCTAGACTACTCATTTCAAAACAAATGCTGATTTTTAAAAAAAGACCATTCTTAGTATATTAGGATTCTGAGATACTTATTCTAGCTTTTATGAAAGCTGACAGTAGCAAAATGAACAGTTGAGATATGGCCTCAAGCTTTTAGGGTTACCTAATATTTCAATTGAACTTGAGTTATACATATTTTAATTTCATTCAGTTGTGCTTATGATAAGCATACTAAGTGTATTATATTCAAATTTCAAAAATCTTGTGTTTTAATGTAATTCCGTTCTTCTTGACCCATTTGCCTGGGACTCATAGCACTAATTTTAAGGAAAGTAATGCCACTTCTTTTAGTCTGAAAGTCATACAAGTATAGAAAAAGCAGATTATAATTGATTGATCTCTTAACAATTAGCTTTACTCTTGTGTTCTGGGGGTTAGTGTGGACTATAATAAAAGCATGTAAAGAACCAAAGTGGTGGCATTTATGGAGTAAAAAACCATAGTAATTACCCAGCACTATGTTTTCTTTTAGATGGTAAACTAAAACCACCTGTTATATATCCCCCATGCTCCTGAACCTTGTATTGTAAATGAATAATCTTAAAGAATATTTATTCTCATTTTATCTTGGTTGCATGTAAAAATCAACTGCAAACTTGATACTTCAACACAGAGTTTTTATTTTTTTTTAAAGTTTTACATACAACACATGTAAGTTTGTGCTTTGGTGGTTTTATTTAAGAACTCTTTTTATGGCCAGTCACGGTGGCTCACACCTGTAATCCCAGCTCTTTGGGAGGTTGAAGTGAGAAGATTGCCTGAGCCCAGGGGTTTGAGACCAGCCTGAGTAACTTGGCAGGACATTGTCTCTACAACGAATCAAAAAATTAGCCAGATGTTGTGGTGTGCACCTGTAATTCCAGCTACTTGGAAGGCTGAGGCTGAGCCTAGCAGGTCGAGACTGTTAGCCGTGACCATGCCACTGCACTCCAGCCTGGACAACAGAGTGAGACTCATTCAAAAAAGAAAAGGAAAAAAAAGTTCTTTTTTTTCACAAGTCACAAAGATATTTATTGTCTTCTATTATATGTTAAGTATTCTATTATATAATTAAACATATTTATTATAATCAATATAATATATAATTATATTAATATAATTCATCATATATTTAATATAATATATAATTAATTATATATTGTCTTCTATTAGCTTTATAATTTTACTTTTTACAATTGGTCCCTTAATCTATCTGGAATCTACCTCTGTTTATAGTATTTAATGGGAATCCATTTTTAATTTTTTCTCTACCTATGGAGCTCCACTGCCAATGATTTGTCCTTTCCTCATTAAGTTATGGGACACCCTTAGCCCTATAACAGGATTTGATGTGCACATGAACCTGTCTCAGAGCTCTAAGCCTGCACCATCCATCTTTTTCTGTTATGCCATACTGGTTTGCCATCTCCCAGAACAAGTTCCTCTTCTTTGTCTTTTTTTTTCTTTTTAGTGCTGATATAACTATTTCTGATCTGTTATTCTCTTATATGCATTTAGAATGAGTTTCAGTTTGTGAGTAGTAATAAGAAAACCAGTGATGATATTGCATTTAGTTTAGGAAGAACTGAAGTCTTTCTAATGTTGGCAAGCAGACCTACTGCAAACCATAGATTGTCTCATTTATTCATATCTTATTTTACTTCTTTTCACATTTAAAATTTTTTCTCTGTGAAGATCTTGCATATTTTTTGTTCAGTTGACTCCTAAATACTTTATGATTTTTGTTGTAATTATAAGTGGCACCTTATTTTTCTGTTACATTTTCTAGTTGTTGCTAGTGTACAAATAGTTTTTTGTTGTTGTTGTTTTGTTTTTGAGTTGGGGTCTCACTCTGTTGCCCAAGCTGAAGTGCAGTGGCACACTCACGGCCACCATAGCCTTGACCTGCTGGGCTCAGGCAGTCCTTCCATCTCAGCCTTCCAAGTAGCTGGAACTACAGGCACACGCTACCACACTTGGACAATTTTTTAAAAATTTATTGTAGAAATGAGATCTCACCAAGTTGCCCAGGCTGAGCTCAGGCAATCCTCTCACCCTGCTGGGATTATAGGCTTGAGCCACGTACTGGCCTGATATTTAGGTTTAAAAAAAGTTTGTCTTTTATCCATTATCCTTGCTAAACTCTTAATTACTTCTAGTAATATGCTGATTCTTTGTGAGTCAGTCTGCAAATTCTTTGTAAATGTTTATACCATATGCAAACAATGAAGTTCTGTTTCTTTCCTTCCAGTCTTTTTTTTTTTCTTTCACTTCCTCTTTTCTGAACTGATAGTGACCAGGAGCTCTAGTTCTGTGTTAAATACAGCAAGGTCAGTGGGATTCTTATCTTTGCTTTCCTGAACTAAAAGACAATACTTCCCACCCACCTTCTTCTCTTCATCTCAGTGGAAGATCCTATCCACTTCTTTCTGGATTTTCAGTGCTTATCTGAATGGATTCCTCAGCTGTATCTTTTGCTGACTTCTGCTTCCCTCGCCTCCCTGAAACTGCACTCTCCTTGCTTTTTCTTCTCTCTCTTCTCCTCCGTCAGTCTCCTTTCCTCTGCCCCTCTCCTGAGGGCTATATTGCTTCTTGGGCTTGTACCCAGGCCCTCTTCCCATTTGACCTGAGTGCTCTCCCTGGATGACCGCACCCCCCGTGGCTACAGTCCACTGTGACTGCTCTTGACTCCAGCTGGTTCCTGAGATACCTTGCACATGTCTCTGACTCCATAAATCTACTGTCCCTGCCCTGTTTCAGTGAGGGACCTCCTATCTGCTCAGCTGTGTCATGCTGGAGACCTGGATGTCATTCCTTGCTCTTCCCACTTTCTCCAACCAAAGTCACTGGTAGATTCTTCCCCGCAGCTAAGCCACACATGCTTCTACCACCCTGTCATTGCTTTGATGCAGGGCCATCCCCCGACCATCCCCCTGAGCTACCACAGCAAGCTACAGTCTCCTGCTCTTCTGAATCGTGTCACAGGCAGCAGCTCCCTTCATGGCTCAGTGTTTTGATACTTCAGGTTCAGATTAAGACTCCTTCATCATGCCTCACAGTGCTTCTCGGAGCTACTGATTTTTTTTTTTTTGAATTGGAGCCTCACTCTGTCACTCAAACTGGAGTGCAGTGGCCGCTCCCGGCCACTGCAGCCTCGACCTGCTGGGCTCCCGCGATCCTTCCGCCTCAGCCTTCCAAGTAGCCGGAATTACAGGTATGTGCTACCACGCCCGGCTGATTTGATTTATTGTAGAGATGAGGTCTCGCTGCCCAGGCGGGTCTCGAACCCGCGGGCTCAGGCAATCCACTCACCTCATCCTCCCAAGGCGTGGGATTACAGGCTGAGCCACCGAGCCCAGCTGATATTTCTTAAAAATAAAAGTTTTTGCCTCCAACATTCTTTTTCTACATTATACTCGCTATTCTGCAGTTTCGAGTGGTACTTCTCAGTGCACATCTAGTTGTGTGTCTTAGTCCATTCAGGATGCTATAACAAAATACCATAGATGGGGTGTCTTTCACAACAAACATTTCTTATGGTTCTGGAGGCTAGAAGTTCAAGATCAAGGTGGCTGCAGATTCAGTGTCTCGTGAGGGTCACTTCCTTGTTCATAGACAGCTGTCTTCTTACATGTCCTAACATGACCGAAGGGACATGGGAGCTCTCTGAGGCCTCGTTTCCAAGGTTACTCATCCCATTCATGAGGGCTCTACCCTCATGGCCTAATCACCTACTAAAGACCCTACTTCCTAGTACTATGGCATTGGGGGTTAGAATTTCAACCTAGGACATTTTGGAGGCACACATATTCAGTCCATAGTATCAACCCAGACCTGTTCAATGAATTCCCGTTACCTTTTAGATGAAGTCCAGAATCCTTCCTGTGACCCACATCTTTGCTCGTTGTCAACCTGCTTCCTTTACTAGCTACTTCCCTACCCAGCTCAGTCTTTCGTAGTGCAGCTGTATTTCATTTCCTGTGATAGGCTCTGCCCTCTCTCCTCTCTAAGGCCTTTTTCACAAATACCCATTTGCCTTACAAGAACATTTTCCCTTCTCATATTTGTTATTCAGGTTTCATCTTAGATGACACTTCTTCTAGGAAGCCTTCTCTATCTCCCAAATCTGGCTTAGGCAACCCCCGTGAGTTCCTGCTGTACCCTCTCAGGTACATACCCTACTGTATTGTGGTTCTTTGTGTTCTGCCTAGATGCTAAGTTCCGTTTGGACAAGAATCCTTGGTACCTAGTA